CGAGTCGCATCTTCTTCGCGCCTTCGGAAGCTACCGCTCGCTCGAACACCATTTCAGACGCTTGCTGATTTTCAATCACACTCCTGTGTGAACAACAGCAGCAAAATGAGGTCCTGACCTCTTTGGATGCTTCGAGGTAAGATAAGGGAAGATAAGACAGGATAGTTGTGTCTTCACAGGTTTTTTCAGATATAGCACGTGCCGTACGTGTTTCATCAGGGATGACAGGGATAACAAGTGTAGACGCGGACATAGTGTTTAGTATGAGGCCTGTCTGCCTCGCAGTGAATGAAAGCACCTTTCTGCAGAGATATTTTCCACTCTGAATCCTTGATTATCTTCCTTGGCATGGCAAGGGGAGGAACTGTTTTATTATTAATTAAATGGTTTTCGTGTACGGCATCATTTAGCCATTCATCCTAATTCCAGGGACAAGGTGGAAAGTTTAACTATCTCGCTAGTGTAGCTGAGTCACATCGCACACGTCGATTGTGACTCATCAGTTCACAATTCCAAAATGTTTTCTTTTGATTGTAGGAGGTCTTCTGCTTAATTGATTTCCATCCAAAGGCCTAGTTCACGATAGTTTTGAGGCACCTTTTTGAGTCGAAAAACGAAAATATTGGTTGAGGGAGTGTCGGTGGCAAAGAGATGGAGAAAACTAGTCGACGTGTGAAAGAGAAGGCTTTCTCAAAGTAGCGAAAGTATGTAGACGTTTTACAAGATTGTCATGTTGGGAATGGCATGGAAAGGGGATTTGGACGAGGTTCCAGCTGTTGCAAATGAGTAAATAGTTTACAGCATTTAGCCAAAAAAGTCCAAAACTGCCTTGTACTGTCGCCATTGGTCATATCAAGTTGTTTGAACTTTCTACATGGGTTCCCTTGTGAATGTTGCAGCCTTTACAAGCCCTATCTAATGGTAAGAAGTTTTCCAACCAGACAGCGCCACATACGGTCGAGGAAGCCACAAATTTATTCCATTGTGATATCTCAGAAGCCATTTTCATTATAACTGTGCTTCTGAGTACAAGGTCAAAAAGAACATCCGTGCCACAGCAGTTTGACACGTTCCCGGCAAGCAATGTTCTACAGGTCACCGCATAATTCTTTTATTTCTAGTCTGTAAAGTGAACTCAACACGCCTCAGTCCACCCCTACGCTGCTCTTTGGCAAGCAGATTAGGTGAGACTTGATGGAAACGAGTCTTAGCATTGTGAATGAGCTGACCACTCTAGTCTTACTACATAAAGAGCGTGACTCCTCTTGTCGCGGGAATGCACGATTCTTTTGAGAAGAAGATTGAGCTGCTTCTTCCAACCATTCGGAGGCGGGTTTTCCTGGTATTTCTGCTTTTATTCTATTCACTTCTGTTTATACTTTCTAGTTGTCCTCTTTGTTTCTCGATTCATAATTGTATATATTTATAATACAGTTTGCTGGTGTATTTAATTATTTCTTAGAGGCGTCCTTGAAGTTGCATCAGTATACGCGCACGACGTGAGGTGATAGAAGCCGAAGGATCTTCCGATGGCATTCTGTGAGGCCCTCCTGAAACTGCGGGGCAGTATGATTTCACCACGTCTGCGATGGGATTGAAACAAATCCGTGAAAAGAATTTTCCCCTCACAAACCAGCGGCTCATGCCCGAATTTGCTGGGACTTCCTGATTCAAATTTCGCTATGATAACAGCGGAGTTTCTCGACATTCCCAGATTAGGGGGTGGTAAAGAAGTCACCAGTTTTGACAGAACATGATCACAACCTCAACAACTAGGGCTAGGCTAATCTGAGGTAATTATAACCGAACCCATTGCTGGAATCAAGGATAGCTCGGCTCACTTCAAGAAAATAGTTCGCGTCTTTGTGGATTGCGCCACAAACCCCTATATTGATCCATATATTAAGTGTTTTGGAATTCTCGCACAAATGTTTCTATGCTTGTCTCGGACATAGCATGTCATTCGAAAGAACTATTGTGCTGGCGTTATAATCACAACAGAAGGAATTGTCGATGCCTGGTTGACGACACTTCAGAAGGTTCATCAGTCCTCCGCGTATCCTTGCGTTTCCCAGTGTATAGATTGCCCATTCAGCGAGATTCAAATTCACCGTAGACTTCATTAGTAACTTGAACCACTCTCCTTGACTGTAAAACAATTCTTTAAATTACATCGAGTTGAGAGCAGTGCAACATAATTTTGGTTTTGGTATCCACTGAACTTAAGTTAAAGCAAATAGCAGTCAAAATACGTATAAATGTGGAAGCTTCGTGATTCCAAACTAAAAGATTAGGTCAATTAAGACACATTCGAGTACATGGCAAAGAGTGTGGACTGGTCAAGAGCAAGTATAAATAGTAATATTTGAAAAGGTAAACAAATTTCCAGCTATACAGAAACAAATGTTATGTATATTTTTGCTGTGGTAATCGTAGTCACAATAATTGAATCGACATCGCTCGACACTAAACGAATGAAAAATGCAAAGAGGACTTTCTCAAAATAAAAGTGCGTATTCGTGGAGGATCCTCGAGAGGTCTCTCCGAGGAAATCAGGTCATGGTTTTATTTTTTGACTGTTCTCACATAAATCTAACACAGCGCTTCGCTTACTGAAAACGTACTCTCCTTAAGTTCCTAGTAGAGTATGTCATTTTAGGAGCAAGTAGTGTACGGCCTCTCATGTGAGCAAATGCTAATGGCACAGTTGACTATGATTCCGAGGTATTTGGCTCAAGTGAACTAATTGAAATGATGATGCAGAGTAGTGCAAAAATGGTGAAGAGAAGAAGTATGAGACCTCAAAAAAGTAGTAAGAAAGGGGTTGTGAGAGATTACGTGTCTTCGATTGAATGGGTGTCTCTGGCGTGAGCGTACACATCGTCGGCGTCCCAACGCTTCACTGGGAATGGAACAGTCTTAACAAAGCCGTCATTATATTGCCACTTTTGGGTGTGCTCGTCAGCTGAGCCGGTTTTGGAGCCCTGTCAAAGTTGTTTTTTGACTTGAATATATACCCACACGTAATCTAGGGAAAATCTTAGAACTCATTTATTAAAGTTCTCGTGTAAGGGTTGCTAACAATTTCTTCAGCCTTCTCCCTTTCCGTGTGTTTGTAATAGAGTTCGAAGCTTTCTTTTGGACTTCCTTGGAGGGCTGAGTTCTTCTCAGCCCATATAAAGATTGATAATGACGAATCCATAGGTAGTGGATAATGACAATTATTTCAAATATAGAGCGACTTAAAAGGTCAAGGGAGTCATCGTACAGAGTTACTAATTTTCAGTCTCGGCTCCGCCCGACTCAGTGCGAGCTTCGTCAACTTTGAGAGCTCAACCAACTTTTATTTATGAGCATCTAAGCACTTTTTTCCAAACTCTAGGACGTTTTGGAACAGAGTTATGGGCGTTTGATCAATGCTTCGCCCACCCCATTGCACAACCCACCGTGAAAGTCTGGTCACCTTTCTCTTCGCTGCCTTTGAGCATTTTTCTAGCCCTCTAGAACCTTTCTGAACATGGTTATGGATTTTTGATCTTAGCCCGNTCCCACATTTTGAAGCTTTTTGAACGGCGTTGTGAATTTCTGATCTCAACCCGCTAGCCTATGTGTGAATCCCGCTCACTTCAGAAATTTGACACCATTTCTTCTTGAACGTCTAACCATTTCTCTCCGCAATCTAGAACGTTCCTAAAGAAAAAAACCTTCTTCCTTTTTTTTTTTTCAAAGAACTCTTTCGTTTAAACACATCCTCACAATAATGGATCGATCTTCGCTACCTTTATGCATGTCCAGCAAGCATGAGGCTCTGCTCACACTTCTCACTATTCATCTGGCCTCATTTTAATGGAAGTCGAACGCGTGCGCGCACCCCTCACAATCAGAGCTGTAGAGATCTGACCATCGAGCATGTTCGGCACAGAATTTTTGGGAATGAGCACCAGACCACAAGTAATTCGAAGGCTTAGCATGAGCTCACAAACATCTCGGAATACTGCTTGGAGTTTAGTGTGGTCTATGTATTATACATAGATGTCTCATGCTTGATCTGAACCAATTTTCAAATTGTGGAATTAAACGACGAAACAAACCAAAAGTCGGCAGTAGCAGACGAAGCATTTTCCAAAGGGAGAAAAGTTTCTTTGAATCGATGGGTTGTTGGGTTGATATATTGGAGCGATGTAATCGACACAGTTGACGACATCATTCAAAAATTGTTGAGATCAGGTGCTTTATCAATACGATCAGTTCGCTATATTAATCAAGCTGCTGGCTTTTTGAATTGTTCTGCTCATTGCTCTGTAGAGTAATTGTTGACATACAAAAATCATCTATTTCGGTAATCCATCTCATATTATTGTTCAGCATTGGCTAGTTGAGAAGATCCGCAAAGTGCTCCACTCTACTATGTGTTTTCACGGGGACGTTGAGCTTCTGCTTCTCCTAAGTTTCCACGATCTGATGGAATACTAGGAACACGAGATATAACTTATTTTAACTCAGATTTTAGCATTAATTCATATATGTATGTGTATGGCTGAAGAGAGTTGGCACATGTCTGTTCTCAGGAAAGTCATGGGTTCCATCACTGTCGAGGTGAAAACCATGCACTGCAAAGTTCCCAAAAATGTTGTCTGTACAAGGGTCAAATCAGGTTGACAGGTCCACTGACAAAGAATCTCCCGCCACAAAAAATTTGTCCATGGTCTCGAGAGCTGTTATTGGCACCCGAAAGTGGAGCACAGGACCTCCGTCTGAGTTCTGTGAAAATCGTATCGTATATGTGTATCGTGGGCTACCAAAGTTTGAGTGACTTCCGCCCACGAAGTAAGATTGAATCGGGACCGTCAAGGTCGAATTGCTAACTGAGAAGTTTTGAGAGATAACTGGAAGAAAATAGCCGCTCTAGTTCCGAAAAAGTTGATCAAGTGGTTATGTGAATAGCCGCTTCGGCAATGAACGGAGGCTTTCCTCTGCGAGAGAGGTAATTGGCAGCGAGCCACGCGCTTGACAGAAGATCGTAATTGAGGCTTGTCAGGATGATATTGAAGCTCTACCATGTGAAGATTGCGCAACACAGATCTCTTCTAGTCATTAGCCTTTCAAAGAAGTGAAATTAAAAAAGAGCGGAGCTTTTCGTGATAGAGCGAGCTTAGGGAGAAGATCTCTCAGAAACGAAACATGGATTTTGAAAGCTAGCGTTCCAGATCCTCGGGAATGGATACAGTAATGTCAGAGTAACGCGGATATAATCCTGCGATGGGCGAAGTTAATCGTGGGAGAGACCCGATGCGAACTTAGAAGGCACAGAGCAGCACATTACTGAAACGATGAAGTCGAGCAGTATGTAAAGAAAAGACAGATTTTATATTAGTACAAATGCTAGCAAAAAGAGGCAAGTTTCAGAAAATCCGCACGAAAAATGCAAGAGTTGCTAAAGCTGCTGCGAAATTGGTATTCAAAATTAATCGACCCCGCTTGGTATTAGGCTGTTCATTAGTAGTACTCAAGCAACGTTGTTCTCTTTGATTGCTTTCTTAAACATCTCTCTGTAGAAAAAAGGTTCGTAACATAACATGATATGTATGAAAACGGCAGTCAATGATTTTCTTGAGTCACACTTTCCTGACTTCTTCACGAAA